TCTGTTGCAAGATCCTACCTTTTCAGTTTGTTGGAGATGAGAAGTTGATGCCTGCTTGGCCCAGCCCTTGGTTCTTTGGCATTGTGCCGCAGTATTTTCTAAGACCCTTAGTCAATCTCAGTCTTGGAATACCAGGATGAATAGCTGTTTAGAACAATTATGGCACTTTTGGCTAAAGTGTTACTATCAGCAATAACAATAGCATCACACACATCACACACAGCCTAGCAAGTTACAAACTGAGGTAACCAGTAATTTGCCACCCTTAACTATATAAACTAGATGTGTAGTTATATAACAAAATTTGAAACAAATCAGAAAATTATATGCAGTATATAAGTCCTTAATATGTCAATTTTTCCCTCAGAGGTTAAAATTTAAAAGGGGTTATAGAGAAAATAGAGAAGTAGAAGAGGAAGAGATTAGAAGTAAGGCTGGAGGACAAAGGGGGATCACACTATCTTTCGGAAACTTGTGCAGAAGACTTGAGGGAGAGAGAGGAGGAAGAGATAAAAAGAACAGAACAGAACAAGAACCACAAAAAGGCTAAAAACCACGTTCACAATCACAAAAACAAGATCAAACAATGAAGGAGAGAAGAAAATAAAAAACAAAAACAAGACCACCACCACCACCACAACAAAAAATAAACAGAGTGAGAGAAAGAGAGAGGAAAAAAAGTCCACTTCCAGGTTTGTCTCTGCTGTCACTGGTAGACAACGTGTGGAGACAGAGTCCCGACCTATGCCGATCTATCCCAGCAAGCCAGCCCTAGCTTTTTGACAGGGTGGTGGATAATCTCAGCGAGCCCGCACCTTCTGGTGGAGATCAGACTCATTTGGCTTACAGGGGTCATCCCACCTTCTGTGGGCTGAGCCCGGTGGGGACCCACTAGAGCCGCACCTGCTCTGAGTTCTGAGCTTAGCCTGCTCCTCTCCAAGATGGCTCCTGGCCAATCACTGTCTTGTGCGGGACAACTGAGCCCACAGCACTCACCTCAAGCCAGTGCAGTCCTTCACGTCCACCGTTCCCCTCCACTGCTGCGTCTCTCCATGGAGGGCTCTGGGTTGTGAGCAGTCACCATGTGTCCACAGGTCTGAACCGCTCCTCTCTAGCAGTGAGTCCCTTCTCAGGGAGAATGCATCGCCGGCTACCTCCTCCTTTGCTGAAGTTGCTCTCTTCACTCTTCTGTGGGCTTCAATTCTTGCTTCAGATCCTTTCTTGGTCCAGGAGACCACTTCCCTCCTTCTCACCTTCCTCGTATTGCTATATTCAGGCATCCGGTAGCAACTCTCAGCTAGTAAGGGCCTGCTGGAAATCCAGCTGAAAACTTTGACCTTTAAGTATCAAGCTCTTGGTAGTAAGTTTGATGTTTGTGTTCTATAAATTGCAGTTTTCTATAAAGAGGCAATAGTATTGTTTTTCATAAGTGTAATACATTTTTTGTCCTTATGGCTAATATGCAAGTCATTTTATAATGAACTAAAGTATCAGAAAATAATTAATACCAGGACTTAAACCTTTGACTATAGTAAAATATGTTTGGATTTTCAAATATTTGATATCTGTATGGCTTTTCTTTTCTTTTTCTTTTTTGGTCTTTTTGAGACAGGGTCTCAGGCCGGTCTTAAGCTTACTTTGCAGCCCAGGCTAGCCTTGAACTCACAATGATCTTCCTGCCTCAGCTTCCTGAGTGCTGAGATTATAGGGCTGTACCACCACACCCGGCTGTGCAGCTTTTCAAGCATAGGTTTTTTCTTTGTTTTTTGTTTTTTGAAACAGGGTCTCTTTATGTAGTCCAGGCTGGCCTTGAACTGGTCTTGAATTTATGATCCTTGTGTCACATATTCCTGAGTGCTGGATTGTAGGTATGAGCCAACATGCCTGGCAAGCATAGGTTTTTCTTTTTTTTTTTGGTTTTTCTCCGGTACCGGGAACCGAACTCACGACCTTGCGCTTGCCATGCAGGCGCTTTTGCCGCTGAGCTAAATCCCCAGCCCCTAAGCATAGGTTTTTTTTTGTTTTTTTGTTTTTTGTTTTTTGTTTTTCTCCGGTACCAGGAACCGAACTCATGACCTTGCGCTTGCCAGGCAGGCGCTTAAGCATAGGTTTTTCATAGCACTTTCTCTTGTGTAGTGTGGAAGGGCAGTGTGGCGTGGTGTAATACTTTTCAAACTTTAATGGAACAAGAATTGCTGAGAATTTAATTGCTTTTCAGAGCCCTGAAAGCTGTCTAGGTACTTCTGGTAGAGGTGGTCCTGGCACAGTATTTGGAAACACCGATAGGAATATCTACCTCCAAAGTTAGTGGTAGTGGTTTGAACTACAGTGCTTCTACAGTTCTTGGCATAGAACTTGGTACATAGTAAATGTTCAGAATATTCTATTCATAGGTGATGGCATGGCTGGCAACTAAGAAGCCAGAGAATATTCATTGTTTTCATTCAACCAAATACACTGTATTTCCTGTGTCTTGTAGGAGTTGGAGGATATAAAAGGACAATGGACAGCTGTCTAGTAAAATTTATTTGCTAGACTAATAGTAAAGGTCTAATTCTTTCCCTGTAAAATACTGTAAAATAGAAATTAATATGGAAGGCATGCTTGTGTAATCTTCCTCCTGCAAATTAAAAATTCATTTGTTATTGGAATGAGGCTTACAGGGCAAGGAAAGGGACTGATGATTCTTTCTTCATTTTATTATTGCTCTAAAACTCCACTAGCCAGAGTGGCTACAGTAGCAACTGTTTATTTTATTTATTTATTTATTTATTTTTGTCTTTTTGAGACAGGGTCTCACTATGCAGTTCAGGATGCCTTGAGCTCACTTTGTAGCCCAGGCTGTTCTCGAACTCACAACGATCCTCCTACCTCAGCCTCCCAGAGTGCTGGGTATTACAGGCATGCGCCACCACGCCCAGCTAGCAGCTGATTAATTTAAAATGAGTTGAAATTGAGTAACAGTATAAATACAGTTCCTTGGTGGCATCAGCTACATTTCAAGGGCTCAGCAGCCACCTGTGGCTATAGTGGCTGCCTTACGAGATAGCGCCGACGTGGAACGTGTCCATCATTGTGTAAAGCTCAGCTTGGCAGTGTGTTCGAGAGTCCAGATCAAAAGAGCAGTGATTTTCCGGTGGCCTTGGTCTGTAAATTGATTTTGAGGTGAATATTAGCAGTGGATTGAGGCTGCCACTTCAACTTTAAAAAAATTTCTTTTTTATTTTGAGACAGACTTTTACCAAGTTGTACAGGTGGAATTAAAACTTGCAACCCTCTTGCCTCAGCCTTTCTTAGCCCAGGATTATAGATCTGTGCCATGACACCCGGCTCTGTTTCATTTTCTCTCTCTCTTTTTTATCTTTTGGTGGTACTGGGGACTAAACCAGGGTCTCCCATGGAGCTGTGTCGCCAGAACTTCCTACATTTTTAAATTTTGAAACAGGTCTCACTAAGTCACTGGAGTTGAACTTGAGATCCTACTGCCTCAGCCTGTCAGAGTGCTGGGTATAGGGTGTGTGCCACTATACCTGGCTCCATTTTGGCTCTTACGTGCTTAAATACCTTTGGACTGACTAGGCCCTGGGCCATGATTGATTTACATTACTGATGGCTTTATACAGCAAGTAGAATCTAAATGCTAATTTTGGACTTTTTATAACCCCAAAATAATACATTATTTTACTGCATGAAGTACAGCTTTTTTTTTTCCTAATCTATTTTTTAAAGTTTATTTATTATTATTATTGGTTTTTTTATTATTTTTTTTTTTAATGTATGTGGTGCTGGGGACCAAACCCAGGGCCTTGTGCATGCAAGGCAAGAGCTGTACCACTGAGCCACATCCCCAGCCCCAAGTAGAGCTTTTTGTGTGTGTGTGCATAAGAGAGAAAATTCTGTATTCTGTTAATTCAGAATTCATCGTCTACATTAAACTGTAATTTAAAGCCTTACACTTGCTTTAAATTTGTATATAATGAACTGCTGGGAATGAAGAAGAGCTGGATTTCATCTGTGATAAGTAGAATTTATTTTTTTTTTAATTTTTAAATTTTTTATTCTTTTTTGCCTTTTTGAGACAGGGTTTCACTATGGAGCTCAGGTTGGCCTTGAACTCACTTTGTAGCCCAGGCGGGCCTCGAACTCACAGTGATCCTCCTGCCTCAGCCTCCCGAGTGCTGGGATTACAGGCGTGTGCCACCACGCCTGGCCTGATAAATAGAATTTATAACATTTAGATAAAATAATCTACTTATAGAAGCCAAATTCAGGAGTAGTGAAAAGTTGAGTTGGCACTGTTGGTCAAAATTCTACTGGGTAGGACACGTTTTATGCTTTTTGTGGGGTTTTTTTTTTGGAGACATGGTCTATGTTCCGGGTTGGCTTTGAACTTGCTCTCTTGGCCAGGCTGACCTTGAACTAGCAGTCCTCCTGCAGCAGCCTCCTGGAGTGCTAAGATTACGGTTGTGTGCTACTGTGCCTGGCTTTTTCTTTCAAAAAAGTTAATTATGTTTGTATTTTGATAATTGAAAAACTAAAAACAATATTTTCAGTACTTTTTGTTCTTGTTAAAACCTGTGTGTAAAATTGTGTAGCACGCACTACACTCTGATGTCTAGGCCATGAATAATGCATTTTTTTTTTAAGAGTTCAGGAAAGGGTATGCATGTCGGGAATGTTGCTCAGTGGCAGAGTGCTTGCCTGGCATGCCTGAGGCCCCGGCTGCAATCCCCAGTACCACAAAACAAACAAAGAAGCAGAAAGGAAGGAAGGAAAAAAAAAAAAAGAAAGGCTATGTAGTTGCTTTGTTTTCTGAACACAAGTACTGCGTATAGTTAGAGGTAGATCCTGCCTTTCTCCCTGCTTCGGGTCTTGCTCTTGTCCCAGAGGCAACAGAAGAGCTGCCACTCTGCCCCAGGTCATGGGTTAGAGTGACTGAAGTCCCTGAAATCCTTTTGTGCATTACTGCTGCTTCCTTCAGTGAGCTTCTCTCTTTCCAGGTCACTTACTTCAGCCTCTGGTACCACAACAAGCAAAATCAGCGCCGCTGGGTAGACTTAGATAAACCTCTGAAGAAGCAACTGGATAAATACGCGTTGGAACCTACCATCTATTTCGGAGTGGTGTTTTACGTGCCTTCAGTTTTACAACTGCAGCAAGAGATTACCAGGTGAGAAAGTACATGCCTCCTGACAATAATCTAGTGAGATTAGAAAAGTAAAACTAAGGCTGAAGGTAGGAGATAAAAGTCTGAAACTTTGCCCTCTCACCCTACGCTTTCAGCCAGCCTATTACAAGGGCCTCTGGTATGCATGCGGTCAGAGTTTTACTGCTTGTCGGGTGACTAATGGCTTCACTAGGTACGAGGGAATGATTAAAGGGGAAATGATGTTTTTTACCCTGGCTGTAAACTGTCCTTGTAGTGGTGTTACCTTTGATTGTTTTGTTTCTGAAGAGGTTTTAAAAATGTAGTCTCAGAATCTGCATTCACTCCGCAAGCAAAGGTGCCGAAGATTCTCACATTCTGGAAGATTCTGGAAGCTGTATTTATAGACAAAGGGAGAAAGAATGTGTGTGGGGGGAACCATTGAGAGGGAGGGGGAAGGCGTTTACAATCAGAAAACGTTGGCCAGTAAATATACTTGGAAGCCCCAAAAGCAGAAAAGGGAGATGGTATTAAGCAAGACACTGGAGGAACTGAATGTTACTGTAAATTTTTTTGCCTGAAGACAATTAAAATAAAAGAAAGTGGAGTAAAATTTGAATTCTTGGGGCTGAAAGTGTGGCTCAGTGGTAGAGTGCTTGCCCAGCACGTATAGAGCCCTGGGCTTGATCTCCAGCCCTTGAAAGGGAAACAAAAATTGAATTCTTGAGATTGCCCAAGTTTTCTCCATTGACCAGTACTTTATCTCTTTTGTGACATGGCTCTGGAGCCAAGCGGGACGAGTTCGCATATGCTGAGCATACTGCATACCCTTCCATCTCTGAGTCCTAGGTCTCTCCCGTACTTTTGTATTGGAATCATCCTATTCATCTCCTGAGCAGGCGCCTCCGTGAAGCTCTGCAGTTCCCACGCTGAAATGAGCATTGCCTTCTCCAGGCTGGCTTAAAATTGCCAAACTTTTGTGAAGGTAGCCGTTATCACCGCTCCTCATTGTGGGTTTTTGTGTATTTATCTTATCTGCTTCCTAGATTTTAAGTCCATGTTTGTCTTTAGCTTTCCATTTCTTTTGAAAGCGAGGCAGCACCTGGTACAGCCGCATACTTGTGGAATGCTGTTTGAGCCCGCAGTTAATTATTGGAAGAGAATGGAAAACCAAAGAAGTTACAAGGATCAGGTGTAAGGAAAAACAAATACTGACCACGAAACTGGTCTGAAATGTCAACGTTGAGAAAGAAGTGAAAAGCAAAACATGAGCCGATCTCTTTCACGCATTTAAACATTTATTGAAGATCAAAGAATTACATTGGGCAGTATGGGAGATGGATACACAATTGTGCATTCTTTATTTGGACCCTGGAGGAGTTGCTTGTAGTCTAGGGGAACTGGCAGTTCGTGTAAATAAATAATTATAGTATCTAGGCTAATAAATGCTTTAATTAAAGCCCTGGGTTCCTACGGGTGGGGCATAGAGAACTTGCACAGGGAAGGTAAGCAAGTTTGACTTTTGGTTGAATAAGCTTCAGAAGGAACTTTTATTTAGAGGGAAGAACCTCTGCAAAGCAGCAGGAATAATGAAAGGCCCAGGTATTACCTGGAGAGGCGAGAGAAGGTTTAAACAACAGGCTCGTATGAGTCATGAAGTCATGGCCTGGTGAGGAAGACTTTTTCAAACTTTAATGGAGCGGAATGAGCAAATGTGCATTGTACAAAGATTACGCATGATGAAAGGTCAACTAGAGGTTGTAAGACCTCGAAGTTAGAATGGCAGGAGACCTGTTAGGAAGGTCTATATCATAATCTAAGCACCAGGATTAGGCCAGAACAAAGGCATTAGCCACAGGAAGGGTTGAATTACAGGCGCTGTGCCTCTGAGCTGTATCCCCGGCCCCTGTGGAAGGGTTGAAGGAGAGTGGGCCTATTAGATTCATTCAGTAGGAGTAACTGATTGGGTACAGGAGAACTTAGTAAGAAATTTTATCAGTAAGAATTAATTAACCCTCACTTTCTCCTACGGATGCACTGTTCTCAGCATGTTCTTCTGAAGTCGACTAGATCGCCGAGTAGAGCTAGATAGCTAGAATGGTCCCAGCCGTCACCTGTGTGTACATGAGCAGCAGAGCAGTGGTTTTCTGGGGGAGGGACATGGCTAGGTGAGAAGGGTGATGAGGTGTCCAAAGAAACTGTACAAGGTGTTTGGTGTGTTGTTGGCCTTGTGGCAATGATTTTATGAGTACTCTGATATGTCCCAACTACATGTTAATTCTCTGCAGTTAACCACATGCTAATTATATCCCCAAAAAAAGTGCCACCCCTTCAGGGATATTTTAAGGAAGAAAAAGGGGGGAACAAAATTCTAAATACAGCCATACCTTGGTACTGTACTTGACGGCTTTGAAACTCGTCAAATTTGATACTTTTACACAAGTTTCTCCCGGGTGCTTGTTGTTTGGTGCTCAATGCACAAGCTAGAACGTCTCCACGTTGATTGCCATGGGACTCACTCCCCATTCTGGTCACAGCAGTTTGTTGGGTACGTGTTGTTTTTAGCACTTATGGCACCACTTGGAGCGAATTGACACTGAGTGCCGAGGTACCACTGAAACGTATGTTCAAAAGATGAAGATTTGCCAGAAAAGTGTGTCCACAGACAGCAGAAAATGGCCACCCGATATTACAAAATGAACTAAATAAAGAAACTTAAGAAAATAACATGTGTTTAAATCCAAACTAGATGAGCTTAGGAATGATCTGGTTATATAATAATAGGTGAATAGGAAAATAAGCCTAATGCAGTCAAGAAAAGAATTAGAGATAGTTTTAAAATGATAGAAACTGTGAATTTAGAAGACAAGACCAAAAATTTTATTTTATTTTTTGTTTTTAAAAATTTTTTTATTTTTAAATTTTTTGGCGGTACTGGGGATTGAACTCATGACCTTGCCCTTGCCAGGCAGGTGCTTACGCCACTGAGCTAAATCCCCAGCCCCAAGACCAAAAATTTTTTTTAAAAAAGATGTGATAAAATTCCCTACAGGTGAGAGTCAAAGCATCAATGAAAACAAATTGTTAACACTCTGGTAAAACTTCCTTGAAAGACACATGACTTGAAGCCGAATATTGAAGGGACAAACTGTGTGCCAAGAACCCAACCTAGAGTAGTCAGTCCCAAGCCATATCCTGCAAAATCATTGGAAATTGAGTCTATAGAGAAGACCTCCTGTTACTCATGAGTTAAAGAAAAGAAGATGGTATCAGATTTTGGAAGAACACTTCATGACAAGAGATAAAAGAATAACAGTTAACTTACGCAAGGGAAAGAAACTTTGAGGCAGTATATCCAGCAAAAATGACCTTTAAATATGTCTGAGCTCGGAGTGCCGTATTAAAATACCACAGACCGACAGCTAATCAGAAATGTATTTTCTCACAGCGTGCAGATCTGAGCATAGTTGGTTTTGGCGAGGGCTGTCTTCCCGGGTTTCAGGCCTTCTCCTTGGACTCGCACGTGGCAGAAGGAGAGAACTCGGTGGTTCTTATAAAATACCGATTCCATCATGAAGTCTCCACCCTCAGAGCTTCATCTAAACCTTGTAATCTCCTAATGGCTCCATCTTCCAGTATCATGTGGCGGGTAGCGCTGTAACATATGCATTGGGTGGTGGTGGTAAGCACAGTTCAGCCTCCAGCAGAATGTAAAGGCCCAAACATTGGAGCACACGCAGGAACTTGGGTTGTTTTTGCATGCTCTAAGGGAATTATCATGCAGCCCATCCTCAGTCAAATATTTACTGATTAAACAAGCGCCTATAAGGACTGTGCTCTTAGACCTAGAAACAGTGACAAGTAGGTATTAATGAACACCCTGGTACGTGATTTTTGTCTTAATACCATTTTTCATAAGAAGAATTGGAATTCTATGGGGGTGATAGTTGTCTGGGCAAGCCTGAGACCGTCGGAAGCTAAGTCCACTGAAGTGAAAAGACCCAGGAACTTAGTTAAAGAAATTTTTATTAGCAAAAGAGGACCTTGTGAGCATCATAAAGAATAATGTATAGATAGAAATATAGCAAGTATATTTTAAAAAGTTCATCAGTTCATAATATATAACTTCCTGAATTTTTATCAAAATGGGGAAATGATACCAAGGAAATCCTAAGAGCATAATTGCTGATAACAGCTGTTGTTTGAGTACCAATTACATTCCTAGTCTTTTTTTTCTTTCTTTTTTCTTTCTTTCTTTCTTTTTTTTTTTTTTTTTATGTCTTTTTGAGACAGGGTCTCGCTATGCAATATGTAGTTCAGGCTGGCCTTGAGCTCACTTTGTGGCTCAGGCTGGTCTCAAACTCAGGACGATTCTCCTTCCTTGGCCTCCCAGGTGCTAGGATTAAAGGCATGCGCCACTGCGCTCGGCCTACATTCCTAGTCTTGTGTTCACAGCTTTGTGTATATTACTGAAAACATCCAGCCCTTTGAAGGGGTTCTGGTGTGCTGGATTTCCTTTTGACAAGTGCGCATGTGTAAGTATGGTCCCGGATATTGCTGCTGCTCTTCAGAACCATCTGGCGTTAAGATTTCATTTGACTGGTTTATGTTCTTTTACCAAATTATGAAATGCTTTACTTTGATGTAAGATAATACTGACTATAAAATTGACATTTTTTTATAGGTATCAGTATTATCTGCAGCTGAAGAAAGATATCTTGGAAGGAAATATTCCTTGTACTTTAGAACAAGCAATTCAGCTAGCAGGCTTAGCGGTTCAAGGTAAATAATGCATATTAAGTGACTACAGTAAAAGTTAATAATGTGATAATTCTATCAGATTAAAATGTGTTATAACAAAACCAGTAATGGTTTGTTAAAGTAACTGGCATTCTATGTATATTGTTAGGGGTGTTCATATATTTACGAAAAAATATGCTATTATGTAAGGGGCTCCCTTATGGGAAGAAATGAATTTGAATTACTTCAATGAATTATGAGACTTTTGGAAAGATAACCATGTTGTATGTCTAAAGATCTAGCAGTCCAGTGACTAGAAATACATATATTTTTAAAACACTCAATATGCTATATGTTAATCTAACCTCAGGACTTGATATGCTGTGAGCTAATATTTTAGGAAGAAATACCTGCCAATCAGTGGGGTTGAGAAGGTTATATTCACCTTAAATATATTTCATTTATTCAATTTTTAAGTAATTTTCCTGGCTTGTAGAGCATCATCAGTCACAACAAATGATTTTGCATTTCATAAGCTTTTTTGGGAGGTGCTGAGGGTCATGCCCTACCGTGTGTGTGTGCTCGGCAAGTACTGTACTCAGGCCTCACATGCATTTCTTTTTCTTTCTTTTTTTTGTTTTGTCTTTTTGAGACAGGGTCTCTCTCTGCAGTTCAGACTGGCATTGAGCTCACTTGGTAGCCCAGTCTGGCCTCGAACTCACAAAGATCCTCCTGCCTCAGCCTCCTTAGTGCTGGGATCACAGGTGTGCACTACCACGCCTGCCTTCACATGCATTTCTGAATTGTTTAATTCTTTCACTTTTTACATGATTAATGTACATGTGGCTACTTGTGTGTATGTGCTCTGGAATGATTTCTGATAGAGTGTCATTTCAAACGATAGCTGGCATTTAACCTTGAGAAGTGAAATTTAATCCAAAGAATCATAATAAAATTCCTCCAGATATTAACAGGCGTGGAGATGTGTTCATTTTTAAATATATGTCTGAGACATATGGAACCATATTCCCTTTGCAGGTACTTTTAATTTTCTTAAGTATCATTTTTAACTTTAAGAATACCTTTTCAGCTGGGCGTGGTGGCACACACTTGTAATCCCAGCACTCAGAAGGCTGAGGCAGGAGGATTGCCACGAGTTCAAGGCCAGCCTGAACTAATAATGAGACCCTGTGTCAAAAAAAAAAAAAAAAAAGGAAAAGAAATAGAAAAAAACCCCAATACTTTTTCTTAAGTTTTTTGCCAAACTCTTAACTTTTTAATTTATTTAACTTAATTTTTTTGAGACAGGGTCTCATCATATAGCCCATGCTGGCCTCAAACTCACCATTCTCCCACCTCAACCTCACAAGTACCTTTTCATTTTCTTTTAGCAATTAAAAATTTCAACCCCCACCCTCCCCCCAAGAAAACCTCAAATACATCTTTCTGTAACAAATACAAATGATCTAATTCCGTTCCCCAGCTTGGTTTCTTCCTGACATTTTTATGTGTGTAAGAAAACTTTGCCAGGTATAGTGGTGCAGGCCTGTAATCCCAGCACTTGGGAGGCTGAGGCAGGAGAATCGATGCAAGTTTGAGGCCAGCCTAGGCTACGCAGTGAGTTCAGGGCCATCCTAGATTACAGAGTATGATCGTGTCTCGGAAAACCAAAACCAAACTGAAACAAAACAAAATCCCCCCAAACCAAACCCATACACACATCTGCTTGGTCTTTTGTTTACTCTGGTTTTTAACTATAAAAACCAGAGTATATTATATATAGTTTGTAACTCTTAAAAGCTAGATTCATAAGCATTTTTCCAAGTCAAGACACATCAACCTACCTAATTAATATTTTAAAAAGGTACTTTAGCCAGGTGTGGTGGTGCACCCCTGTAATCCCAGCACTCGGGAGGCTGAGGGAGGCTGAGGCAGGAGGATTGTTGCAAGTTTGAGACCAACCAGGGCTACGAAGTGAGCTCACGGCCAGCCTGAACTACATAGTGAGACCCAGTCTCAAAAAGACAAAGAAAAAAAAAGATACTTTAAATACACACTCTAGAGTTTTCAGACAGATTTCACTTCTGAGTGATAAGTACACCATCTGTACACTGTACATTATGTTATGCAGATTAAGTATAATCAGCATGTGAATATTTGTCATTTTGTATAGCTGATTTCGGTGACTTTGATCAGTATGAATCCCAGGACTTTCTTCAGAAATTTGCCTTGTTTCCTGTGGTAAGTCTTCTTTTGGCATTGGGTCTTTGTTAAAGGTTTATTCCTATACCCTTAGAAATTCCTGAAATAAAGTCCATATGGTATATGCTTACTAGCCTTGAATAGTGTGAGAAGCTCAGTTCCCTTGTATGAATATCAAAAATGTCAGTTCTTTCCCTCTTGCAGTCTTCTTAGTAGTTGGACACTTAGAGAAACTGAAGTCTGTAGTCATCGCTGTAGGTTGAAAAATCAGTTCTCTATTTGAATGGGAGTCCAAGGAGAGGGGTTTGTTTTTGGCTCTTAAGAACCACATAGAGGTTTTGGTTTTAACAGAAGCCCCAAAACTTCACAAAGTTAATGTGAAATGAATATGACTTCTTCTCAGCAATCTAAAAAAGACATCCCCTTTTGGTATTTAAAGTCAGTACTGATGGAGGTGATGTGAAAACTGCATGGTATTCTCTTCGGAGCACTGACTCAGCCAGCCAGGGCATGCACAAGATGTTTTCACGCTGGGTCAGAACTGGCTGGCAGGTATCACCAACCTGAAATAACTCAGCTGAAGTTCGCCCTGGAATGAGTTGAAAAGGGAGGGCAAGTTTCTTGGCTCCTGAATAGGAGCCACCGAATGCCTCAGATCATGATTACACACATAAGCACAGCTCCTAAACACTAACACTAGTCGTGATTTCGCCATAATTGAGAGTCAGTAACAGTAGCAATGAGTCCTCCTAAGAAATTTTCGTAACTGTTTTCCTCAGGGGTGGCTACAAGATGAAAAAGTGTTGGAAGAAGCGACCCAAAAAGTGGCCTTACTACATCAAAAATACAGGTAACACTAAGCAGTAGGACATGGCAATAGTATGGAATTGTACCTGTTAGAATTTGAAATCTGTAGGGCTGGGGATATAGCTCAGTGGTACAAGCACCTGCCTGGCAAGTGCGAGATCATGAGTTCAATTCCCGGTACCCAAGAAAAAGAAGAGAAATCTGTGTCAACACATTACATTTAGATCCTTACTGCAGCTCTACAAGCGGCCAGCACTTCCACCGCACTCACTCTGTGCCAAGTGTGTTTAAGGGGGGAAGGACCCACATTCATTCACTTATCAGTCATGTTTTACTGCTGAGGAAATGCGGGAAATGAAAAGCAGCCAGTCACTGAAGATGCCGGTGACTTCATCACCTTATACATTAAGTAACAGACGTCCTAGTATTAGAGGAAGGCAACATTAAGGAGATTGTTTTCTTTTACAGTACAACAGGTGCAATTATTTCCCCCAGGGTACTTTTAGAAGCAGTATTTCTATCATCTGGGGAGCTATGATAAGAGCTCTGGTGCTGCTTGCACTGACTGAGCTTTTTGGTCCGCTTCTGTACCTCTCCGTGCTGGTGGATATGACTTTCTTTAATGGTGAATCTCTGTGTTGTGCATAAGAAAAACCCTCCCTGAGGGAATGCCAGCTCTTAGTCTAAGCCAAATATCATACAGTTCCAAGTTCTTTATATACTGTTCAATTCTTCTAACTACAATACTCTTTAAGGTAAATATTATCTCCACCTTGGAGATGTGGAAGCCAAGCTCAAAAAGACTTTGGTCTTCACGTGTGGTAGAGGTGGGATGTGAAAGCAAGTCTGCAAGTCTGTCTGATTATAATCTTTTTTATTGAGGAGGGGGTACTGTCAATGGACCCCATGGCCTGCTCTTCCTAGATGCTTTACCGCTGAAATGCATCCCCAGCCTGTATTCCTCAGGTTCTCTTCTGAATAAACCTTCTGCCACTAGTTTCTCTCCACTCCAGTCTCTACAAGCATTCATAAAAGATTAACCTAAAATACCACTTTCCTTTTTTCTCTCCTTCTCTCCTTCTGGAACGTTCATGGATATTTTCTTGCTCTCCATAAGTTGGTGAAATCCTGCTTTTCCATCTCTATTTTCTACTATCTAAGTGAGCCATTTTTTTCCTCTAGCATAATTGATCCCTGAGGCACACATTGTCCTGCCTTGTGTCACTTTCATTTCATTCACTTCTGCTTTTTTTTTTTTTTTTTTTTTTTTTTTTTCTCAACCCAGGGCCTTAACACTGAGCCATACCCCTGGCCCTTTTTAAAATATTTTTTTTGGAGACAACGTCTCACTAAGTTTCCTAGGTTGGACTTGAACTTGTGATCCTCTTGCTTCAGCCTAAGTCTTCCAGACTTCTGGGATTACAAGGCGTGTACCACCACGCCCAACTCTTCTGCACTTCCTTAAAAGATAGTACCTAGGAACTCATTTGTACGCTTACTCTGTATGAGGCAGAATGCTAGATTGGCTCAAAGATAAAAACAATGATTTCCTGCCTCCCAGGAGGGCATTCCCAGCCTGGCAGACCTAGGGATGGGCAGGGCAACCATTTAACGGTAATTATAGTGATACGATACGATAATGGGTGCCCAGGGAGAGCTGTGGGCAGAGTGGATCATGACTGCTCCTGGGGGGGTGGATTCTAGAAGGGGACAGAGAGGGAGTGATTCATACACTGAGTTGCAAGGGATATTGGGGATTATTCCCTTCCTGTGTGGGTGACAGGTAGTGAGGATGCGGGAGTAATGTGCAGAGGTCCAGAGCTGTGAGAGAGAGTGGCGCATTCACAGAAAGGTAGACTTCAGAAGGGCTGCAGTGTAGGGTGCTGTGGGGGTGTGAGGGAGCGACGGAAGATGGGGCTGGACCGGTGAGTCTCTGTGCCGAGGAGCACCCTTTCCTCCCCTACACTGCTTCCTACACATCTTTATAGTGCCCCAGTCACCGAGCTAAGACAGATTTCCCTCTAGCCACCTCACGTTGTTTTGTGACATCTAGCATGTGATTCTCAATAATGCCTGATACTTTTGGGTAATTTTTGGAAAAAGTCCCAGCCTTCACTTGATATCTGAAGGCCTGTTTCACCCCTCGCCTCTGCCCTCACTTGCTTACAGTTTAAGGTGTAGGGTGTTACAGATCTAGCCTTCTGTGTTCAGCTCAATGCTTGGCTGGTGGTCAGTTTTTGCAGCATTGATATAACCGATTACAGATGCTTAGAAGCCTGAAATGTTTATAACATCTGGTGCCAAATTTGTGTGTAGTCTTTAAGAAAAGCTTTATTTAAAACATTTCTTTTCTCTGTAAATAATCTCAATAACCTCTCTTGGGTTGCAGAGGGCTCACAGCTCCCGATGCTGAAATGCTGTACATGCAGGAGGTAGAAAGGATGGACGGCTATGGAGAAGACAGCTACCCTGCAAAGGTGGGTGTGGCTCGAGGCCGAGGTTCTCCAAAATTAGGCATAGGAGTTCAAGAGAATAGTGAGAAAGGTCGAGGATGCGCTGATGTTCAAGTCGGGAAACTTAAAAGCTGAAGTCCTTGTGTCCAGAATTTTGTAGTAAAACACATTCCCATTTTGCAGTTGGTGCTTTGAAACGATCAGGAAATACAGTTCCAATTTTCATGCATGTTTACAAGATGATATGACCTTCTGAACATTTCACATTCAGGTTTAGGGAGACAAGCGTAAGGAATGGTATGTAAAGTTACTGTCGTTCTTACGCCTCTGCTTCCTGAGTGATTCTTTCTCTGCTCTGTGCCCTTAGGATAGCCAAGGAAGTGACATATCCATTGGAGCCTGTCTTGAGGGTATCTTTGTGAAGCACAAGAATGGAAGGCCTCCTGTGATATTTAGGTATTTTTCTTTCCTTTTTATGTGTGCATTCTATAGCTCCTATTGGTGATATATGTATTTTTTAATCTTTTAAGATTTTTTTTCCTATTGGTGATATTTTAAAAAATTGCTCACAAGGCTCTCCCAAGGTTTCAGTAGAAAATGGAAATATTCCTCTCCTAGACCAAAATGCCACCCGAAAGTAGTGAATGATTGTTCACTAATATGCCGCTCTCGGCAGTATCAAGTGTGCAGAAAATAGTGCTTCTCACAATGGCCTGTTTATAAAATGCTTCATAATTCATGACCCTTTTCTTGCCATATGGAGGCCATTCTTTGTTTTGATCTAAATTTTCCTTTTTCTTTTTGGTACTGGGAATCGAACTCAGGACCTTGCACTTGCCAGGCAGGCACTTATGCTGCTAAGCTATATCTCTGGCCCTTGATCTGAATTTTTCACTTGAGCTCTGGTTTCTAGGGCTGCTTGTTGCGGGAAATTTAGACCTTTCTTTTGGTTCTACTTATATAACAAATACCAACGTCCTCAAATACCAACGTCTCAGCAAATTTCAATTACGTTTTGTAATGATGATTTTTTCCCCCCCAGATTATAAAGAAGGGATACTGTTATTCACTTGTGGGAACCTTGGAGTGTACATAGTAGGAAAGACAGAACTGATATATAAAGATGTCTTAACGGTCTTGTAATAGGGGTAAATTTCTGAATGTGGAGGTTATAGATGGCTTGCATTTCCTTTTTAGTATGTTGTGCTCCAGTTACCATCTTAAACATAGAAATTGGATCATATTGTTCAATTCTTCCATTATAGTTCCTTAAAATTTCTAATCTTAGAAAATCCACGGTGCCATTTCATGGAAATATTTGCAGTTATACTCGGAGATTCTATCTTCTCTTGATAAAAATATTAAAAATTCATGTTTTTTTACAAAGTATTAAACATAACCTATCACTTTTGGCTTTTGGTTCCGGTGTGTCTAACACTTACTGAATGTGGTTTATCATGTACTAGATACTATGCTTTTTTTTTGTCTTTTTGAGGTAGGGTTTCACTATGCAGTTCAGGCTGGCTTGGGCTCATTTTGTAGCCCAGGCTGGTCTTGAACTCCAAGTGATCCTCCTGCCTCAGCCTCCCGAATGCTGGGATTACAGGCGTATGCCACCACGCCCAGTTTAGATACTATGCTGCATGCTTTCTGTGTTACCACCATTTTGCACGTGGGCTATTTGGGGCTTGTAAAAGCTGAGTAATTTGTCCATGGTCCCCCAGTTATTAACTAGCATACCCAGGACTTGAACCCAGGTTATCTACTTTAAGCCTGTGCTCGTAGTCACCATACTAAGCAGCTCTCTTTTTTTCATTCCTATCTCTTACTCCCTGACTCTCTCCCATCCAGCACATTCTGTGCAAGCCTTCTAAGCCATCCCTATCATTTCTTCTTGAGAAGCAGTTTTTCCTTTTCAAACCCTTTTCACTAACCAGGCATGGTGGTTAGTGAAATAGTCTCAGCTACCAGGGAGACTAGACTGAGGCAGGAGGATTGCAAATTCAAGGCCAGCTTGGGCTATGTAGTGAATGTGAGGCCAGCCTGGAACCTAGCCAGACCCTATGTCAAAAAACCAAAACCCACAAAGCTCTTTTCAGTCAGGCGGCATCTCTTCCTTCATTGCCTTGGTGCTGTGGCCTTTGGGCCCTGAATTCTCCACAGTGACTATGGGCACAGAAAGTAGATACAGCGCAGGGAGCAGCGCCCCGTTCCTGCACCGCACCACCCCGGGCTGGCTGCCCTGCTTCGGCAGTTGTGTGCTCTTGTCCCCAAGCCAGCCAGGAAGTTTTCCAGACATGCTGAGCTGGGAGGGGAACGTGGGTCTGAGCTGCATCTAGAATGTAGAACCCTGACAGTGTGAAAGGGTCACACAGAAACTCGACACATCCAGCCAGTTGCCTTCCTCACCAGGCAGGACTGATGGATGCATGGATCGACTGATTAATAGTAATGGAGATTGAACCCAGAGCTTTCTTGCTGAGCTGCATCCCTAGCCCTTCTTTTAATGTTTTATTCTGAGACGGGGGTCTCGCTCAGTTGCTAAGTTGCCCAGGCTAAGTTGAATTTGTGATTCTCCTGCCTCAGCCTCCCAGAGTGCTGTGGTTACAGGCGTGTACCACCATGCCAGGCCAGATAGGAATTTTATTAAAAATTGCCTTATTTAATATGATGTGAATAACATTCAGCTTTAACAATTAGACATTGAATCACTACTGAATTACTTCTAAAAATTTACATAAATAAAATACAGGTTGAACACTTCTGATCCAAAACTCTAAAATATGAAATGCAAAACTCATGAATTTCAACATTATGCTCTAAAAGTTTTAGATTTGGGGGTTGGGCACATAGCTCAGTGGTAGAGTACTTGGTTAGCATGTGCGGGGCCTTGGACTTGATCCCCAGCATCATATACGTACAGAAAGTTTCAGATTTTGGAGCATTTCCTATATTTTTTTTTTTTTTAGTCTTTTTGAGGCAGGGTCTTGCTATGCAGTTCAGGCTGGCCTTGAGCTCACTTTGTAGCTCAGGCTGGTCTCGAACTTGCGGTGACCCTCCTGCCTCAGCCTCCCGAGTGCTGGGATTACAGATGTGCATCACCACACCGGGCCCTATTTTGGATTTTCGGATTAGGAATGCCCAAACGGTAGTCTGTGTAAATATTCCAAAATCCGAAAACTGAAACACTTTCTAATCCAGAGCAATTCCGATAAGCGATACTCAGCTCACACAGTGAGGAGGCATAAAGTAGGTTATGTTTCCTTTTTTTCCAGGAACATTTGCCCCTTTTATAAAGTTACACAGCTGTGTAATAAAGCAAATGTTAATAAATAAAAGCTAAATAGGATAAAACAGAATTAGAAAACATGATGCAGCATTTTTTGTGTCCTAGTGAAACACCTGGAATAGTTCAGTCCTTGGCTTCCCAGCACTTGAACTTCTTTACCCTGTAGTCTTTCAGAGTCTGCCCTGCTTGTGTGCCACCTTTGTCATGTTTAACTACAACATTCAGCAGTACTTATTTGTTTATATCCTGCCTGGTGTAGCCCTACCAGCCAGAGTGCCCCTTTGAGGGGAAGGAGCTGTATTGTGAATGTCCCCAGGACCTATGCAATCTCGCATTGCTATGATAGGTGCCCTTTACAGTGTTTGTTGAATGAATAGTTGCGGCATTGGGGATCTTTGAACATCAAGCTAACCTAGTAAATGAGGAAACTATATTTTACACCTTTCAGATGGTCCCTTCCTTCCTTCCTTGACTGTGCATGCATTTATTTTTGTAAGTAGCTGCTGTTGCTTCAATTAGGAAATAAGGCTAGGAGATGAAAATGACTGTTTTATTTCAAAATGGTTAACAAACGTTAACTTCTGCACCAAGCTTAAGAACTCCTGTGTCCTGTCTCTTCACCCGCACCTGAGAACTCACGTGGGGCCTCTGCTGTTTTTTTAGGTGGCACGATATTGCTAACATGTCCCACAACAAGTCCTTTTTTGCATTAGAGCTGGCTAATAAAGAGGAGACCATCCAGTTTCAAACTGTGAGTAAAAAGGAGGAATCTCCACAGAACGCTCTTCTTAAGAGAGTGTAGAGTTAGCATTTCTCGGAGTCTTGGAGGGGAAGAAAAATGGTAATGTTTCTTAATTGTATGAGAGAGGAAGTTGTGTAATATAACGTTTTGAAAAATGGGTAGAAAATGGCCTTATGTAAATATTGTTGAGTAAATGAATCTTTGGATAGGTGCTATCTTTTTTTTTCTTTCAGTGTTGGGGATTGAATCCAGAGCTTTCACACTGAGCTGTATCTCTGGCCCTTTTAAAATTTTTTACTTGAGGACTAAGTAAGGGACAAAACAAGCACCAGTATCTTAATTCTTTGATAATGAATAGCTCTGCAGAAATGTTATGTAACACTGATTTGCTTTTGCTTTCTTGACAAAGGCCATATTGAGTCCCTGAATCAAGTGTTTTGTTTAAAATCTTTGAGACTATTTGTCAGGAATAAAAATTGGTGGTTTTTTTATGTTTTAAATTTCCAAGGCATTTTTTTTTTTTTTTTTTTTGTGCTGGGACTCAAACTCAAGACCTTGCACTTGCCGGGCAGGTGCTTGTGCCGCTGAGCTATATCCCCAGCCCACCACGGCATTTTTAAACTGTTTGACATCAGACATGGTTGGGGCAGATTTTTATCTTCATCATTGAAATGTCACAGGCTAAGTGTTAGAAAATGAAAGAATCGCAGTGTGTGGGAAATGACTTTAACATAGCGTGCATCCAATTATATCCTGACCACAGACAAACTGTGTGTTAAAAGTACCAGTTCGTTTGCCAGGGATAAGAGCTCAGTGGCACAAGCGCCTCCCTGGCAAGCGCAAGGTCCTCAGTTCAATGCCCAGCACCAAAAAAAAAAAAAGGACCAAGTCGTACCTGTGGGTGTGCTTTCATATTACTTTGTGCATGTTTTGTTTGCCAGGAAGACATGGAAACAGCAAAGTACGTGTGGAGACTCTGCGTTGCGCGGCACAAATTTTACAGATTAAACCAGTGTAACCTGTGAGTATCTCCTGCTTGCGGGAATTGAAGAGAATAACTTGCTTAAAAACTTAATCTTGCGCTTTCTCATATATCTGAGTTATCAAATGGCAACTTTTCCTGATACTTTTATAATAATCGCTTTACTTTGTTATACCTTGAAATGACATTTGTTACCCGGGGCTGTGTTACATGCATGCAGTCCCAACCCTCTGGGAGGCTGAGGTGGGAGGGCCCCAAGTTTGAGCCCAGCCTGGGCAACTTAATGAAGCCTGATCTGAAAATAAAAAAAAGAAAAAGAAAGGGCGGGGATTTAACTCAGTGCAGCGGCATGTAACTCAGTTCAATTCATAGCACGACCCCCACACACAATTATTTTCTCATTTTGGCTTTAGACCAAGTTCTAAGAACTACAGTTATGCCTCCAGAATTTCTTTCAACTAGTTATTAGCCCCATTTTCAAAAATAAAACCAGAGGCTATCCTTACGGTTTTTCACCAATGCCCTGGTCAGCATGTTGAGCAAGCGTTATTTTCAAGCCAGGCGCAGAATTGAGGGCCCTGCCCCCGGTGCACGTTTTCAGTGACGCACATGCAGACACGCTGTAATCTCCCACTGTGACACGCGTGTCCTTCACTCTGCCTTCAGCTCTAGCATCAGTAGCGTCTGCTTTCACAGAGGACTTCCGCGCAGGGGCTGTGCCCTAGCATTCTTCCCTCCCTTCTACCTGTTCCCACGAGCCGCCACAGCGCAGATGCTGCGGTGGTCAGCTGACTCTCACCGGTGGGCCCCGCGGGAGCTCAGACCTGTGAGCCTCAGCTGCTCCTTCCTGCCTGGGCTGCTGGGACGCTGCTCCCTACGCTCCAGGTTCCTCCTTTTAGTCTGCGTTAGTGCTAAGACCCCTTCCGGTTTTCCCCTCTGGAGGACCTCACCCGACCTCAGGCTAACACTCTAGCTGCTCAGCAGATCTGATCACCAGCCGGATGTCTCCCTGAGCTGTAAAGGCCTGCGTCCCGCCTCCCGCCCGTTTATTGGTCCCTTTGGATACCTGCAGGGCATCTCACCATGATATGCCTCAGGCAGACCTCTTGTTCTCTCTTACCTGCCTAAGCCACCTCTCCGGTGTTTCGCGTGTGGACAAGAGAGAGCGCACTACACTCACCCGGTTGCTCGGGCCCCAGACCTGCAAGACTTGAGTCATACTTCTTTTTCATGCCATGTCCATCTCATCAGCAAGCTCTGCTAGCTCCACCTTCAACACAGATCTGACATTTGAGCGTTTATACCCCGCTAGCGGCTTTGTGCCCGCGCTGGTCGTTTCTCATCTGAGACATTGCAGCAGCCCTCTGACTCCTTTCAGCGCCTTCCTGCGCAGCTCGTTTTCCCTGAGTCAGCCACAACGATCGTAGTTTAGCGTGAGTCAGACCCTGTAACTCTTCTTAAACCCCTCTGTCCCTTGGCGTCCTTTAGATGTGTAGGAGGGCGACGTGATGTGGCCGCTGCCCGGTCCTGATCGTTTCCTTTATACGCTCCTCCTCGCGCACCGCGTGGCAGTCCTTGCTGCGCTGTGACCCGTGCGAGCCCGAGTGAGCGTGGTGGAAGTCATGGGGGGAGAGCCCCTTTACCCTTTGTCTCATTTCTTTTTATTATGATTGTAAACTGGGAGGAAGGGGAAGAATTAAAAGGACATTTGTGTCCTTTGTGCGAAGAAGGAAGGAGACCGGCGGTGGAGGGGCTTGCTGTTCTATAGTGTGTAAGGGACCTGATCACCTCGCTGTTTTATGGTGTGCTAAAGGACCTGATCAGAGTGACAGTTCCCACAGAATGGGCAAGGACGTCCCTTGGGAGGGGAACCAGCCAGTGATTACAGCAGGGGCAGCGCTCCCCTCCCCCACGTCCTTAGCCGAGTTCCCACCACTGCTGTGGAGGTGAGGTTCTGGTAATTAGTAACTGACAGGGAGGAGGAGCCCCTTTTTTCTGGGTACAGGAAGCCTTTTCTGCTGGTTGTGGGCTTTGGAGTTGTGCTACATTTCTGTATGAAAGTGTTCCCCCTGGTGGTTACATTCAGTGGTGCGGCGGGTGCAGGATCCCTGAGTGCAGTCTTTGGGGCTCTGAGCTGGCCTGGTCACCCAGCCTGGTGTGACATTATTTCTGTTAAAGTAGTAAATATACAGTCTGTGGGAACACCGCATTTTCATTTTAAAGCCTTTAATAAATTTAAGAATACTTATTTTTTTTTTTTTTCCGGTACTGGGAATCGAACTCAGGACCTTTCACTTGCCAGGCAGGCGCTGTGCCACTGAGCTATATCCCCAGCCCAAGAATGTTCATATTGAGCCATCATACCTAACTTAGTTCCTTTTCTGGAAAATAGTGGAGAATCAGTTACTCTGAATAAACCATGAAACACAATCACCTTTGAATAAACATCCATATTGATGGGTGGTTACTGGCTTTTTTTCTTTGTTTTGCAGTGCTTAGGGATTTATGCCAGGCAGGGACTCTACCACTCAGTTACATCCCCAGCCCTGACACCTTCGTTTTAAAAGTGTTTCTGGGCAAATCATTAGCTAGTAATGATTTTTAAGATTCAGAGGGAAAAGCAACCAATGATTGTGGTAAATGGGGCAGTCTCAGAAATGTGCTTTTTATTAATAAGTGTGAATAAAACTGTCAGTTGTATTTATTGGATCTCTATAAGGAACATCTGATTCTTTTGACAATGGAATTATGTATAAAGGGCTATTTTCCAAATTTAGTTTTATGTATCTAGATTATGGAAGCTCATTTCTGTGAACTATCCTGTGTAATTATTTATGACTCACTCTTTGGGAAATATATTTCATTGTGTGTATTTGTCTTCCATATAAAGTAAATGAAACCTTTAATACTAGTTTTTAATGTTTTGATGGGTAACAAAACCAAAAATAACTTTAATTTTCTGGCTATTTCTTTTAAGACTCTCAACAGGGACTATTTAGTCATATTTAATATTGTACTGATTCTAGCTGGGCATAGGGGTACACACCGTGTAGTGTCCCAGCAGTTGGGAGGCAGCCTCCCCAGTGAGTTCAAGGCCAGCCTGAACTACCCAGGTGAGATCTTATTTTAAAAACAAACAAATAAAAAAGGTGATGATGATTCTACAGTATTGGTAGACTTGTTATCATGGCCCAGGTCGTTAAACTCAAGTGAGATGGGCAGTTAACCGACCTGCAGCTGGCCTGGGGCTGGACAGGGGTTCTGGACACCTGTTTCAGAGATGGAGTCTACCTGCACAGAAAAGTGGGCTCTACTCCTGCAGCATCCCCTCACTGCAGCCCTGACCTGTAAATAATGGCGTTGCCCATGGCCTGAGGTGATTCAACTAACCATAAGCTGCAGTTCAGTATTTATAGTTTTAGTATTTATCCAGCAGTCTCCTCACCGACCTGTAAAAAAGGTACTTTATTTTTTACTTTTTTATTTTTTTGGTCTTTTTGAGACAGGGTCTCACTATGCAGTTCAGGCTGGCCTTGAGCTCACTTTGTAGGCCAGGCTGGCCTTGAACTCACAACGATCCTCCTGCCTCAGCCTCCCAAGTGCTGGGATTATAGGTGTGTGCCACCACGCCCCCCCCCCCAACAAGGTACTTTAGATAAATCAAATCATCCTTTTTGTTGCTCAAGCCTTAAGACATTAAATAAGAGTTTCCTTTTGTTTTTTTAATTTATAAAATGGGCCTAATGTTACCATACATAATATTCCTTTAGAGTTAGATTAGGAATTAAATAAGATAATATTGTCAGTCAGTCAGGTCAGAAAGCTTCTTCCAACCCCTTCTGCCCCACCCCAGGCAAACTATAATCAACCTCCTTAATTTAGATGGAAAGAAGGCTGGGAGGGAAGGCCTCTGGGTGCGTGTGTGCGTGCTTGTGTGTGTGTGTGTGTGTGTGTGTGTGTGTGTGTGTTTCTTGCGTCTCTCCGTGGGCTCTGTCCTCCAGCCGGCAAAGCCAAGCCCAAGAGACTTTCTGTGGAGAAGCGTGGATTTCAGCCAGCAGCATGCTGGGCGCTGGGCGCTGGGCAGAGCGAGGGGCGTGGCGAGCGTCCTCTGTAGTGTGGGGCTGTTGGGGAGCACAGCAGCCAGTGTCCACTTCCTCTGGGGACTGCTGTGATCCAGAGACTGATGGGCACAGGCCCTGCCTGGAAGGGGAGAGGCCTATTACAGACCTGAAGAGCTGGTAGGAAGCCCGGGAGATCGGAGCAACCCTCTCCCCTTCCAGTCCTCTGGGCCCGCAGAGGTGTGGGGAGGGCGCAGCGCTTCCCCCAGACCCATGGAGAGGGGCCCTGTCATAAGAGGTGGAGGGGACTGAGGAGCAGCAAGGGCCAGTAGGATGTCTCCCGTCTCAAACAAGGCTTGGGGAGAGGTGGCACTAGACGTGAGGGAACTTCTCTCTCAGTAATAAGAGGAATTAAAACTAAGGCAAAGAGCATAAACTCAGAGGCAAAAGCTTTGGTTGAGAGGGAAGGGAAGGTGGGGCAGGACTCCAGCTCGAGGAGAACAGCTGCAGGGGCACAGCTCTGATGGAGACACTGACCACGGGCAGGGGCTTGTAATCGCTCGCTGAGGCGGCCCGGTCTGCTTGATGGTTACCTCAGCTCTGGTTCTCCACTGTGGCTCTGGAGAAGCTCTTCCCCCATCCGGTTCCCATGCGATGGTTGCTCCTGCCTAGTGGGGCACTTCAGTTGTGTCACGGGGTAATTATTCCTGCCTCGGGAGGTGCTCCCACCGTAGGAAGATCTGTCTGCAGATGCTCTGCTGGAATCCAGGGGGACTGCAGGTTTAGGACAATCACTAGAGACTTCCGGGTGCCATGCCAGAGAATCTGGAAGAGGATGTGTAGTAAAAGCTGGCAACTGAATGTCCCTGCAAATCTCGCGTGTCTTGGTTACTCTTATCTTGCTATCCTCAGTTTTGAAGCGGGGCAGTGAGAGAGCTTAGGTAAATGTAGGGCCAATAAACTGTTGTTTAGATAGATACTCAGTGATTAGCATGCTTACTTACAGAGCTGAGCAGGAATCTGAGCCGCAGTTTAAAGTAATAAAGGACACGGGTATAAAATGAAGGCAGAAATAGCAACCTTTACCCTTTTACCCATTGGTATCTGCAGGTCGAAATGAAGAGTCAGTGCTTTTTAGCAAAAGTTGCAGCTTTTAAATCCTTGTCTCAGGGGCCAGGGATATGGCTCAGTGGCACAAGCGTCTGTCTGGCAAGCACAAGGTCCTGAGTTCAACTCCCGGTACCAAAAAAAAAAAAAATCTTAAATCCTTGTCTCACAGAAGGCAGCTTCCCTTCCTGAGCTGGTCACTGTTTACATGAAGGTTACTCACGCTGAAAAACTAACCTGTCATGGAGCTAGAGTGAAGCTACTCCCTCTCACCCTGAGTGGCAGATGATCCCTGCCAGCTTTGCTCCTCTCCTGTCCACAAAGCCAGGGGCCTGTAACGGGAGTACGGGAGAAAAATGGGAGCAGGCCTCTCAGAGCCTCTGGCCCACCCTCGAGAAGGGAGGGAGAAGAGCTTTCGTTCCTCAGGAAAATCACTGAGACAAACATTCGGTAGGTATTTCTGCCACCCAGCACGTTCTGATTATGAAAATCACCCCTTCATGAGCTGAAAACAAACAAATGACTGAAAGGAAGCTCACAAAGCCAAGTCAGACATTCCGAGAAACACGAGCTCAACAGTATTGCTTAGTAAAGAACATTAGCCTCAGTTCCAGCTCACTCCGCCATTCGTTTGCTCGGCACACACCCCTCGCACGGAGGGCTTCCTGTGAGCCGGGCAGTGTGCCGGGCGCAGTGATGCGTGGTGTGTCCTCTTCTCCCCCGCAGCTTCCAGACTAGCTGGAGTTGAGGAAGCAGCCAGACACATAGTGCTCAGAGCCCATGCCCGGAAATCTGACAAAGCTGCTCGTCCAAATGCTGGTTCTGCCACTTGTTTGCCATGTGACTAGGAGCAACTTCCTTCATCTAAGTATCAGTTGCCTCATCTATAAAATCATGATAACTGGATGTCACTTTTGGGGTTGGTGCTTGGATTTCATTAGATAATCAGCGGTCTTTGGCACAGTTTCAATGAGCAGTATCATTTATCTTACTGGGACTGGAAGCCCTCTGGTACCGTCTTCTCTAGTACACCTGCTCCAATGACTTCCAAGCGCTCTTTCAGCTGCCTCATAGTTTAGCAGCTCTCATCAGTGTAGAAACTACACCAGAAGTTTAGAAAGCACAACCAATAGCCTGGTGGAGTCGTGGAGGTTGATCTCAGCTTAAACCGTACTTGCAGCAGTGGCAGGGAGAAAGAGGCAGTCACACAGTTAGAACCAATGGGGAGGCTGCCCAGGATGAACTACCGGCAGGTAGAAGAACTACAGGTTTGTCTGTGTTCAGCAGAACTGGCTTCTGCAGTGGGCAGTGTTCGCCTGCACAGGTGCTGCCAGCAAGATGCCTGAACAGATAGTGCGGGTGGGAGTTGCCACCTGTCCTCCCAAGCGCTGCCTCCTTGAGTTTTGTGCTGAACACACTTAGGTAACTGTGGACACGCTGGAGTTTGTTGATGGTGAAATCAGTCAGCAGTTCTTTTTTTCTCATTTTTGCACTTACCAGTATTTTATAAAAGCTCAGTCCAAGGCTGGGCGTGGTGGCTCACGCCTGTAATCCCAGCACTTGGGAGGCTGAGACAAGGAGGATCGTTGTGAGTTTGAGACCAGCCTGGGCTACAAAGTGAGCTCAAGGTCAGTCTGAACTAGAGAGTGAGACCCTGTCTCAAAAAGACTAAAAATAAATAAATAAATAAAAGCTCAGTCCATCTCCACCTCTGCTAGACTCTGTAAACTTCAGTAGCTCCCCTTTACCTAAAACCTAGCTGCAACCATGGAGGATGAAGAGAGGCAACGTAAATTTCAAAGCAGCAAACTGCAGCATCTTGTATGCAGTTAAAGCTCAGATACAGTCATGCTGACATGAATACCGGAGGGAGGGAGCATCCTTGGTGGCAGAGACATCTGCGTTTCATAAACAGCCTGAACACCCTGCACTGACAAATTATTAAAAGAAGTCAACTAGTGAAAGCAGTTTTAGTCACCTGATGTTGTGTCTCATATCTACTAGTTTTCTTTTTGTCTCAAAAGTCTTGTACAGATAAGTGAATGCTTAGAGTTTGAGTATAGACAGCAGTTATCAGAGTGCTAGGAATAATATCTGTCTATTTTTGTGTTACTAGGTATTGAACCCAGGGCTTTTGCATTCAACTGTATCCCTAGGCCTTTTAAAAACTTTTATTTCTGCCATGAGCTGCACAGCCAGTGGGGTCCTGAGAGGGGGTGATGGGAGATTAAGAAAAACTATCAATACATACTAAAAGGAAAGCTGGGACCTGGTGGGACCTGAACTCTTTGATGGAGAGGCAGCAACAGCCCAGCATAGTCTGCTTCTTTATTTATATACTGTGAAAGGGAGGGTAAGCATGCGACAGGGCCAAAAGTGCAGGGTCTCATGTTTTGCTGAGAACACTGAAAGCGAAACATTCTCAGAGCTGTCTGTGCTATAGTTAACAGGGAGGACACCACGGCCAGACACCTGCTGGACTGCCTTGCTTTAGTCTCAGCAACCTGTTTCCATGGCTCGCCTCTGGAGCTCCGTGTTCTTGGGGCTGGCCTTGCTGTAGCTCCGAATGTGTGGTTGGTCTCCAGCTTAGCTGCTCTCCACAATTTCAAGACAGGGTGTTACTGAGTCACTAAGTTGCCCGGGCTGGGCTTAAACTTGTGATCCTCCTGCCTCAGCTTCCCAGAGTGCTAGAATTACAGGCGTGTGCCACTATGCCCGGATGAATAATGTTAATTTAGAAGAGGCTTCATATTATTAATTAACCTGTTGATTAAATGGGTTGAACGTTCACTTTGTAATAGTGGGTTTTCCAGTAGCTTGTCCTTAGAATCTAGCCAAAGGTCACAGGATATTTTTGTAATCACTAATTATGTGTCCTATAAGTTCATGAGCTAGGCACAGATAGTAAAAAAGTTTTTTAAAAAGTTGTTTGACAGAATTATACAAGCCGTCCAGAAAACCAAGAATTCAGGGTCTCTAGGTTCTAAATCTTATTTGCAATAAAATTGACCACATGCAAGAAAAAAAAAATGCTGCTTCTGTTTAAAAACAGTGGGGTTACAAATGAGCTTTTCTGATCTTGTTCTTTTTAAAAACCTTGTTCATTCAAAGATGAAACTTGTGTGAATAGCTGGGCATGGTGGCACATGCCTGTAATTCCAGCACTCGGGACGCTGAGGCAGGAGGATTGTTACGAGTTTTGAGACCAGCCTGGGCTACAAAGTGAGCTCAAGGCCAGCCTGAACTGCATAGCGAGACTCTGTCTCAAAAAAAAAAAAAAAAAAAAAGGAACGTGTGTGAATAGTTTAAAATCCCAAATTACCAGGTAAGCTCAGTCAGTGTTCCTTAATAGTTGCTTTTAAAACAGAGAGAAGTTTCTTGCAAAAAAAGCTGAATGGGTTTATGACAGGCCCACTGAACTGACTTTTCTACTTTTTGCTTTCCCTAATTCAGTTCCTTAGAGAAATGTTAAACCCCCCTGCCAAGTGTAAATTCATAAGTCACCAAAATTATCTTTTCCTGATATTTGGAGTCTGTGGTTAATAGACCTTTAGCTTTAGGCTTCGCGGCTGCCAGCTGATACTCACCACCATTCGGACTGTTCGAGACTTTCAGTGCTAACCCAGCCTGCAGGAGAGATGCGTGGGCTGAGTTTGCTGCCGGTCCCTCCTACCCTGCTGTGGCCGTGCCACAAGACTTGTCTCGCTAACACGATGGGCGGGGAAGGAACAGCAGTCCTCCCTCTCTGGGGTCCCGGGAATGATGCCCCAGAGCATGGTGCAGGGCCAGAAGTGGTCAAGGCCCGACAGGATGCCAGTAAACCACTTTTCTGCTCTCTAATCTGTGTCTGGTCTAGTTTGTCTTTTTTCCTTTGCAGACTTCTCATGGTACCTTCCTGTATCTGAATTTGTTTTGATGGAATTAGGAAGTATGTGCTCTTCTCAAAACTATCTTGTTTTATAGGCAAACTCAGACTGTCACAGTGAATCCACTCAGGAGGAGGTCATCTTCAAGGATGTCTCTGGTAAGAAGAAACAACTGATTGCTTTTTGATTTTTCTTTTCACAGTGTCATTTGGCTCAATAAAACCTGCTTTGGGTAGTGTGCATTTTGAGTTTGAGTCATAAAACTGTGCTCATACTTGATCATTTTTATCCAAAGAAAGGATGATTTTTTTCCTCAGTTCAACCTAATATTTATTATATTGTACATATTCAAATATGAGGTCCAATCAAGTGTTATAAATTTGAACTATTAGCCAAGAGTAAGCGGAACTTGGTAGATGTTTAAATTACTTGATAACTTTGTCTAATAGGATTAAATATATTACATATACACTTCTTATATTCAGATCTTTATACAAGGACATTTATATCAGTTCCTTCTTTCACCTTTTGGAAGCAGATTATCCTTAGTATCAGTGTGCAGGGCTTGGCATTGCCCTTATGGGCAGCGGTGAAAGTGATACATATGGTAAGACCTCCTGTGTCTTCACATGGATTTTCCATATATAATAAGTATATTTAACTCTTTTAGAAGCTTCTTTTTTTAGTAGAGAGAAGGAATCCAGAAAAGAATTACTTTACCTCTGTTACATAGGCAATGTGTTTTAACCCTGTGTCCAACTTTCCATTTCTTAGCCTAAACCCCAGCCCTATGTGATGCCTCCCCCACCCCAGCTGCATTATAATGGACACTATACAGAGCCATATGCTTCTTCCCAAGGTAAAGTACACTGATTTTGCAAAGCCTTGAACAGTTACTACCATGCATAAACCGATGAAGAGATCCTCAAGCCTGGATAGCTTTTGCCTGAAGTTGTACCCCAAGTTGTCATGATTCTAGCCATGCTGGATTCATAGAACAAGCCAGTATATTCAGGTTCTTGAATATATGGTAAAAATTTGTAGTTTCAAATTTTGATGCTCAAGTGGCCCCAAAATTGGCCAATGGGAACTTCAAGGTGATTCCTATGTCCTGTTAACATCCCCACCCCATTCGCCTTTTTTTTTTTTTTTTTTTTTTTTTTTTTTTTTTTTTTGAGATCCTGGAACCAAACTCATGACCTTGCGCTTGCCAGGCAGGTGCTTTGCCTCTGAGCTAAATCCCCAGCCCTCCATTCACCTTTTGAAAGTTTGTTGCTTTCAGGAAAAAGATGCCCCAGTCTCACTGTATTTCCTTGCTTGAGATCTTCCCATTGTAAACTTTAAGCACGTGATTACTGCAGTGTTCATGCTTTAAGTATATGGAACGGTAATTATGACAGTGCCCCAAGCTTATCTTGATCATTCCTTTATTCGGTAATCTGTGTATAAAGCTGCACTAAAGCCCAAGGAGGTCGATGCAGATGAGTAGCTCCAGTCGTCAGAAGTTTAGGGTTTAATTTTGGGGTAAAACATTTGCACGCGTGCCTTGGAATTAAAGAGAATGTAATTCTTCGGCTGAGGGAGAGCATGCAGTCCCTGTGCCATCTGATGGCAGACACGCCCGTCATCTAGCGGTGCTAAGAACTTTCTGGGCTCCGTCAGGTGGCCGGATTTCAGTGAGAAGCGGGTCCTGACTGGGGCGGCTGCTCCGATTTTGGGGGATAGTGAATCCCGAGGCACCGAGTGGGGACAGGGATCCTTCCCCTTCCCCGTGCCTGGCCCTGGTAACTTGGATTCTGAGCTGGATGTAGAGAGCAGCAGAGCGGTCCGCTCGCCCTTGCGCATAGGGAATGAGTAGGGAGGGAAGTTGTAAGGGGCAGAGGGCGGATTGTGGTTGCCCTGTTTGTGCTGTGCTATGGGGTAGCTCGGGGAGCAGAGCCTGGGGTTTGGGTTCTGGCCCCCACCTCCTTGTGGCTTGGTATTTCTTCGCTGTCTTCCTCCTCCACCCACCCTGTCTGCGCATGCACCCCAGCCCCTCCCACACTGGGACGAGGCCGGTCTCCGTGCTGTTGGTCTCCTTGCCGCCCCTTTTCCTAACTCGGTCTGGGAACATCTCGCTGTCTTTTGCTCTCTGCTGTCTTCAAACGATTGTTCCGGGTTAAGTGTTCTTTCCTTGCACACCCCTCTCCAAGTGGTCTATATGTTTGCTTCTGCTTATTGTTTACCCCTTGACTCTTGCGCCTCACTACCCTGTAAAAGCCGCTCTCCGAGGTCCCAGCACCCATGGCACCTTCCCACCATCAGACTCATCACTCTGTTCCACCAATGTGTTAATCACTTGATTTCATTCAGGACATGCAGGTAACATTTGGATATTTGTATCCCTACGCTCACCCCCCTTTCCATGCTTCTCAGCGAGCAGGGCTTTCCCTCCTTCTCTGTCTCAGTGTTGCTCCGTGATCCCTGCCGGTGTGTGTGGCCTTCTTCCCTCCCTCTGGGAGCTACCACTGCAGTTACAACGCTCGGATCCCCAGGAGGACGACTAGCTCGCCTTCACCTTCCACCGCCCCAGCCCGGGCCCCAGCCCTGCACTTCCTGCTGTCTGACAGACTGTTGTGACAGCTGCGAGGCCGCAGCATGTGAGGCCCTTGGTGAAGTGCCGGCCTTCTGGTGATCACTCAGGAAATGATGTCAGCTATCCTGACATGCTGCAAATTGAAATACTAGATTCGAACTAATATCTCTATCAGCCTATTCCTTCCTGGTGTTCCAAACTTTTTTTTTGGTGATGAAGTCACTTTCCTGGTTACCTGGATTCTTGGTTGTTTGTTGAGATGAGGTCTTGCTATGTTGCCCGGGCTGTTCTCAAACTCCTGGGCTCAAGCCATCGTCCTTCCTCAGCCTCCCGAGTGCAGGGACTACAGATGTGCATCACCATGCCTGGGCCTGGTAACTTGGGTTCTGAGCTGCATGTATTGTTGCTTTTCTTCTTTTTTTGCCTTGGACATTTAGTCATTTATAAAGCCTATTGCCTATAACTTCATAGAGTAATCTCTTCCATGTCCCCTGATCCTAATCCAATCCAGCCTTTTTTCTTTTCTTATTTCTCGCTAGTTGTAGTGTCATAAGAGTTGGTATCTTCAATCTCTGCTGTCCTGCTTCATCTAACACACAACTATGAGTCCAGGATCACTCATCTGCCTAGTGTTCGTGACTGTGTATTTTCAAAGCCTACTCTTCTAGTCTAGTTTCCCACTGTTGGTTTGCTTCAGGTTGGTCCCTGGCTTTGCCCATGCTTCCCCCTTATCCAGAGCCACAGTCCCTCTCCCTCCCACACAGCCTCCTGTCCATGTGTCGCCAGCCAGCCAGCAGAGAGCAGGCTACGCTGTGCTAACAAGCCGTTCCAGAGTCTCTGGATTTTCTCCTTGCTCAGGATACCTGTCTCTTGTGCCCTAGCAAGAGGGTCTCTGCTCCAAAAGGGCTCACCTTGGTGGCTTGGGCCTGGGAGTCTCTTCCGTCTGGAATGCTGTTGGTCATGGTGGCAGGAGGAAAAGACCAAAGAAACTGGCCCTGATCCTCTGCTCATTTTCCTTTGACTATTACTAGTCACATGGCTGTGCCCACCGAAAGGGATGAGGAGGCATAACCCAGTGTACTCCCAGAGGCGGAGCGATGTGGGTG